CCCCTGTACTTGTCGCCTCCTGTCTCACGAGACTCTCCTGTGGCACCACCGTCTTGGCCACCCCTCCTTGCCCCGTCTTCGGAGCATGGCTTCCCGTGTCCTTGTCTCTGGTCTTCCCCAGTCTCTCCCTCCTCTCCCCTCCGGGCCAGGACCTTCCTGTGTCCCCTGTGTCGAGGGTCGCCTCCGGGCTACTCCTCACTCCTCCCACTTCCCCCCGACAGAGGCTCCCCTGCAGACGCTTCACATGGATGTGTGGGGCCCAGCCCCCGTCCGTGGGCAGGATTACGAGCGCTACTTCCTGTTGGTGGTTGACGACTACTCGCGTTACACCACAGTCCTCCCCTTGCGCAGCAAGGGTGAGGTCACTGAGGTGCTGATCGACTGGATCCGCGAGGCTCGTCTCCGGCTCAGGAAGAGCTTCGGCTCGGACTTTCCTGTTCTGCGTCTGCACTCGGACAGAGGCGGAGAGTTCTCCTCTGGCCTTCTGCGTGCCTACTGTCGTGCGCGAGGCATCCGCCAGTCCTTCACGCTTCCGGACTCACCACAGCAAAATGGGATTGCTGAGCGCCGCATTGGCATGGTCATGGATGTCGCTCGTACGTCCATGATGCATGCGGCTGCCCCCCATTTTCTGTGGCCGTTTGCGGTGAGGTACGCGGCGCATCAGCTCAACCTTCACCCCCGGGTCTCTCGGCCTGCGATGTCCCCAGCCTTGCTGTGGACAGGGAAGGTTGGCGATGCGTCTGTGTTCCGTGTCTGGGGATCTCGGGCGTTTGTCCGCGACTTGTCTGCGGACAAGCTGTCCCCTCGTGCTGCTCCCTGTGTCTTCCTTGGCTTCCCCACTGACGCCCCAGGGTGGCAGTTTTACCACCCCTCCTCTCGTCGTGTTCTGTCCTCCCAGGACGTCACGTTCGACGAGTCAGTCCCCTTCTACCGTCTCTTCCCCTACCGCACTCCTTCCCTCCCCCCTCCCCCGGACTTCCTTGTACCGGTTCCCCCCCCGGTAGACCCCCTCCCCCCTCAGGTTCCTGCCCCCTCAGGTGTGTCCCAGGTAGACGCCGTTGACCCGGTCGAGGTTACAGGTGACTCTGGTGCTGCTGCGGGTGCTGAGCCTGGGGGTGCTGACTCTGGGGGTGCTGTGCGCGGGGGTGCTGAGCCTGGGGGTGCTACTGCTGGGGGTACTGGGCCTGCGGGTGCTACTGCGGAGAGTGCGGAGCCTGGGGGTGCTGAGCAGGGGGGTGCTGTGCCTGGAGGTGATGGGTCTGGGGGTGCTGGGTCGGGAGCTGCTGAGCCTGGGGGTGCTGCGTCTGGAGCTGCTGAGCCTGGGGTTTCTCCTGCTGCTGCGTCTCGCCGGGAGCCCCTCTCTCCACAGGAGCTGCGCGAGTGGTTCGCTCGCCGCTGGAGGCGTGCTGCTGAGTCTGGAGGTGCTGCTGGAGCTGGAGCTGGAGCTTCTTCGACCGTCGAGGGTGCGGGTGCTGCCGGTCCCGGAGCTACTGGACCTGCGGGTCCTCCTGGAGCTGGAGCTGCTGAGGGCGTTGGTGCTGAGCCTGCTGCTGTTGGTCCTGCCGCTGGAGGTGTGGGTGGCGCTGGTGCTGTCTCTGAGGGCGCTGGTGCTGTCCCTGCTGCGTCTGGAGCTGCTGAGCCTGGGGTTTCTCCTGCTGCTGCGTCTCGCCGGGAGCCCCTCTCTCCACAGGAGCTGCGCGAGTGGTACGCTCGCCGCTGGAGGCGTGCTGCTGAGTCTGGAGGTGCTGCTGGAGCTGGAGCTGGAGCTTCTTCGACCGACGAGGGTGCGGGTGCTGCCGGTCCCGGAGCTGCTGGACCTGCGGGTCCTCCTGGAGCTGGAGGTGCTGAGGGCGTTGGTGCCGAGCCTACTGCTGTTGGTCCTGCCGCTGGAGGTGTGGGTGGCGCTGGTGCTGTCGCTGAGGGTGCTGGTGCTGTCCCTGCTGAGTCTGGAGCTGCCGCGCGGCCTCGGCCGTACTTCGTTCCGCTCTTACAGCAGGTTCTTGGTCTTTCTCCTTCGGTAGAGTGTCCACAGCCTGTCCAGTCGCAGTCACTGTTGGAGCCTTCCTCTCCTCTGCCTGCTCCCTCTCCTTACACTGGTCCTACTGGAGGTCTTGCTGAGCGTCGTGAGCCTGCGTCTCGTCCCGCGTCGCCTGTTCGTGCTGCTCGCGCTAGTGGTCGCGGTTCGCGTCAGCGTCCTCCTCCTGTCCCTGGCACGCACCGGATGTCTCTGCGTCCGTCCACTGCTCCTCTGCGTGCCCCTTTGCCTTCGCCTCCTGAGTCCTCTCTTCCTGCGCTTGCCGACCCTGAGTCGGACTCTCTTCGCGCTGCCAGTCCTACTGTCACGCGTCTGCTTGCTACTGTCGTCACTGACCCCTCTTTTGAGTCCACTGCTGCGTCTGCTCTATTCGCTGAGCTCGTTGACTTTGCTGCTCGCTGTCGTCTCGACTACGCTGCTGGTCTTGTTGCTGAGTCTGCGTCTGTCTGTCCTCCGTCCGTCGGGGGTGAGTGTGCTCTTGGCACGGACGTCCTAGAGGACAGACAGGAGGAGTTACAGTGTCTAGCGGCTGCTTCACCTCATCTCGCGTCTGTACTGCTTGCCCCTGAGGGAGACCCGGATGCACTAGACATCCCGACTCCGCGTTCTTACGCGGAGGCCGTAGAGGGTCCCTACTCCTCTCAGTGGCAGGCAGCTATGGATGCAGAGATGGCTTCCTGGAAGTCCACAGGCACCTACGTTGACGCAGTTCCCCCTCCTGGGGCGAACATCGTCAGTGGCATGTGGATCTTCCGGGTGAAGCGGCCGCCGGGCTCTCCACCTGTCTTCAAGGCGCGGTACGTTGCTCGTGGCTTCAGTCAGCGGCAGGGAGTTGACTACTTTCAGACCTTCTCTCCCACCCCAAAGATGACCACTCTTCGGGTGCTGCTGCACATAGCCGCTCAGCGCGACTACGAGCTTCACTCTCTCGACTTCAGCACTGCGTTCCTGCAGGGTAGCCTGCACGAGGAGATCTGGCTGCGCCGTCCACCTGGCTTCACTGGGACTTTCCCTCCTGGCACCCAGTGGAGCCTCCGACGGCCAGTCTACGGTCTCCGCCAGGCACCGCGTGAGTGGCACGACACACTGAGGACTACGCTTGCGGCTCTTGGGTTTGCTCCTTCTACTGCTGACCCGTCGCTGTTTCTGCGCACCGACACTTCACTGCCGCCGTTCTACATCCTCGTGTACGTCGACGACTTGGTCTTTGCCACAGCGGACACTGCTGGACTCGCCTACGTGAAGTCCGAGCTGCTGAAGAGACACACGTGCACAGACCTGGGTGAACTGCGCAGCTACCTTGGCTTGCAGATCACTCGGGACAGAGCACGCCGCACCATTACCTTGACTCAGTCACACATGGTGCAGCAGGTCCTTCAGCGCTTCGGCTTCACGTACTCCTCGCCTCATGCCACTCCTCTGCCTACTCGCCACTCACTCTCAGCTCTGCCTTCGGATGAGTCCGTAGAGTCGAGTGGTCCGTATGCAGAGCTTGTTGGCTGCCTCATGTACCTGATGACCTGCACACGACCTGACCTTGCATATCCTCTGAGCATTCTTGCACGCTATGTTGCTCCTGGGAGACACAGACCAGAGCACATGGCTGCAGCGAAGAGGGTATTGCGCTACCTGTGCAGTACGTCGGGCATGGGGCTTGTGCTTGGAGGGCGGAGTCCAGTGGTCCTTACCGGCCACGCGGACGCTTCTTGGGCTGACGACCAGGCTACGCAGCGGTCGTCACAGGGTTACACCTTCAGCCTTGGTTCCGGCTCTGTCTCGTGGCGGTCTACTCGCTCGTCTTCGGTTCTCGGCTCCAGTTGTAAGGCTGAGATCTACGCCGGGGCCATGGCTGCACAGGAGCTTCGCTGGCTCACCTACCTGCTGACTGACCTTGGAGAGCCGCCTCGTTCTCCTCCAGTGCTGTACGTAGACAACAAGGCCATGCTGGCCTTGTGTCGAGAGCAGCGCTTGGAGCACAGAACGAAGCACATTGCTCTCCGCTACTTCCTTGCTCGTGAGCTGCAGCAGCGTGGTCAGTTGCGACTTGCGTACGTGGCCTCTGAGGCCAACACTGCTGATGTGTTCACCAAGGCACTCGCGCCTTGTGACCATCAGCGCTTTTGCACCCAGCTGGGTCTTGTGCCTGTCTTGCCTCACTTGCTCTCCTCTTGACTTCACTTGTACTGTGACATATATATATACCTGCTCTTGCTTGTCTAGTTTTATATATATGTCTGTACTCCTGCATGTGAACTGGCCTCTGGCCCTGCTCTTGTGCTCGGACTGTGTGGTGACTTTGTGATCCACCCTGAGCTTGCTTTGCTTTGCTTGACTGGTCTTGTGACCCCTTGTTCTCCCCCACTTTGCCTATGGGGGTGTGTCAAACATTATATATGTTATGCTTGTGTAGGCTACAGTGGGTTAGCCTATAGGGGGTACACAATTCTAGGGTTTCCTACTTGTACTCATTTCACTGCTAGTTCATTCATTCCTGTTCGCTTATTCTCACAGTAACGGTGCTGACTGAGGTGCTACAGTGATGTACGCGTTGAGCAGGGACGCAAAGTAAGGAAAAAGGGAATTTCCTTACAATAGGCTTGGAATCTGTGCTGTATAGGCTGGACCAGGTTATAATTTCATACCCGCCACATAAGGAATTCGCGTATCGGAATTTACGGCCTGGGATTCCGATTCTGTTTTACCCAAACCCGCTGTAGGCCGTGACAAATTTCAACACCGTAGAACAATGTTGTTCAATGCTTCAAGGCCCTGCGGCGAGCCTGTTTGCGCTTATCTCAGCGGCGCTGCTAGTGTCTTTCAGGATCAGCAGGACCTGCTGACGAAATGGGAGGCCCAAATACTCGAACCAGGCAAGTCAACGAGCAGAAAACAACGCCAACGAAATGCGAGAACCGCCGGCCAGCAAGCATCCGAGAAGCTTCAACTGATGAGCCGGACGGATATGGTTCACTACGTCGATGTGAGCGGCGGGTGGGATGCGGGTGAGTGCGATTGGTGCTTCGACCGTGCCGTGGCGTATAGAGCTGCAGACGCCCTGGGTGAGGGCGTCACGTCGTTTCTTGTGCACCTCCATCGCGATCAGTCACCCGCCATCCCCCGTGCTCCCCCAAGCCGACCCACCAGGGTGATGCTTGACTTTTCCTGGAATGTACCGGTGCAGCGGATAAGGGGGCAGCAAGGGGGGCTGGGGGGACAGCAGGGGAGGCAAGGCGGGCAGCAAGGGGGGATGGGAGGGCAACAGCGGAGGCAAGGCGAGCAGCAGGGGATGTCGCCTCGGGAGCAGCTCGTCTGGAAGTGTGAGAAGGTACCGCTGCTATGCGTGCAAGCTATGCTGCTCGAGTGGATGGCTGAGCCTCGTGTAGGTGTGCTCATGGACCTGGGGAGGATCAGATCCCGCCTACCTGCTGTTCTGGCCAATCGAGACTCTCTTGGGGATTCCCCTACTGCATCAGCTGCTTCTGCATCTGCTGCTGCCCCTCCTACTGCTGCAGCGTGGTCCCTCTGCTGGCGCTGCAGCAGCTGCTGGGCTGCCTACTGCCGTGCTGTCAGCTTCGCTGCCTTCCTCGTGCTCGTGGCGAGGTGGCCTCGAGTTGACACAGTATGGAAGGCGCACGTGAATAGATACGATGCTGGGCTCGTGTACCCAGCCCTAGTAGCCCAGCTGGGGGCGGGCAGGCAGGTGGAGAACGACTGCTTCGCGTCCATGCTGGTGCAGGTGCTGGGGGTGAAGGAGAGTGCTCATCTGCAGGAAGGATTTGGTGCTCTTATGCAGAATCTGCTGACAGGCGGGCTGGAGAAGACAGATGCGGAGGGGAGGAGCAGTGCTGGTGAAGGTGAAGGTGAAAGTGAAGGTGAAGGTGAAAGTGAAGGTGAAGGTGAAGGTGAAAGAGCAGATGCAGGTGAAAGTGCGTTGGAATCACGTGCACGTGCGCTGAAATCATTTTTGAGAATTCTCAAAAGTGAAGGTGCAGGTGAAGATGGTGGTAGTGGGGGTGTGGAGAGGGGTGGTGGTAATGGTGGGAGCAATGGGAAGGGTGAGCAGTGGAGGAGGGAGCATCTGAAGGGGCGTGAGTGGGAGAGGTATGTGAATGGTATGGCTTGGATTCTGAAGCATGGTGGGGGGGAAGAGAGGGAGTTCAGTTCAGGTGCAGCCACTGCAGTGAGGGGTGGAGCAGCAGCAGTGGCAGCGGCAGCAGTAGCAATATCAGCGGCGGCGGCAGCAGCAGCACCATTTTGGAAGGCAGGGAATTCCCCAAGGGCATCCCCAAGGGCATGTATGTGAGTGGCGTGGGTGCCACTGACTTCGCCCTTGCAGTCGCCTCTGTGATTTCCAAGCCAGAGCACCGCAATTTGGGAGTGATGCTCTTTGCGAGGGGTAGGAGTGCATCCAGAAATGGGGTTGAGGAGGCAGTTATTGAGGAGGCCAGGGAGAGGCTGAGACTGCAGGGCCTATAGAACGGATTGGCAGCAGGGGTGAACGAGGGAGGGGCAACAGGAGAAGGACTTAAAGCAGCAGCAGCGGCGGCTCCAGCAGCAGGACAGTCAGTGAGAGCTGGCTGTTCTCTTGGCAGCAGCGATTCCGATGGGATTCGTGGCTTGGTTAGCTGCTCCAGCGGTTGTACCGGTAGCAGTGGGACATTCAGCTCTAATCTCATGCCTGTCAACGCAGACCCTGTTATCGGGCTGCTCACCTATCGGGTTGCTCGCATATTGCAGTGGCTTCGGATCTACGGCTCAGATTCCATCTCTGCCAAGAGCTGCTTCAAGGACAGCCCACGAGGAAAGGTCCTGCCCATGCGCCACCCGCTTCGGGATCTTCCGAGCCTGCTGGTCAGGTTCGGCGCTGTTCTCCCGCCACTGGATGGAGGCAGCCGACTTGCGGAGTGGGAGGAGTGGCCTGAGGGGGATGAAGCTGCTGTAAAGTTTCCTGTCGACGCCAGTGCCAGATGTTTTGAGCTGGGCCGGAGGAATAGCAGTCTGGGTCGCAAGAACAGAGGTCATGAGGCAACGCAGCAGCAGGGGAAGTCTTCGACGAAAGCTCCCACTGAAGAAGCGCCTGCATTTCCGAGCGAGTGCTATCCCATCGTGCGCTGCAAGGCAGATGCTGATTACTTAGTTGAGATCCTCGGTGTGTTTTTGAAGGCACCTGCGTGTGCCCAGTGCAGCACATGCATCAGCAGGTTCGTCTCCCTCGTCCCCGTTGTCGCTCTCATCGCCAACTTCGCCTACCTCCCTGCCGCCGCTCTTCTCGACTGCGTCCTCTCTGTCTTCCCACCGCACACTGAGGAGTTCCTCCGCCTTCTCAAACGCATGGGGCTGGCCGTTCCGCCCACCCCCGTATCTGTCTCGCTGAGCAGCCTTTCTGCCACGCGCAGCAGGCTGCTTGAGTTGATGGAAGACGTAAATTTCTTCCGCATCTCCTTCCTGCTCCACACAGCGCCTCTTTGCTCCACGTCTCTCCTGGAGCAGATCAGGCCTGAGGGGCAGCAGAGTTTGCTCGTTGGAGGAGAGTGCAGGGTTGTGTGGGAGGAGGTACAGTCATGGCTCATCGCAGTAATGCTTCCGGTTGATGGTGTTGGAGTGAGGGGGGCGGCCTGCAGTGGCAGCCAGTCAAGGAAGGAGGATTTGAGTGCACGTATGGAAGAGGTAACTGAGATGTATCTTAGTGTTCATTGCAGCAGCAGCAGCAGCAGCATCTTTAGCAAGCAGACAAGCAAGGAGGGGAATGAGCCAGATTACCTGAAGGCATGGCCGGGGGGAGTCAATCTGTTCGCATGTCTGCGAGAGATGCTGCTGGGGGAACCATGCTACCGCCCTGCCGCTTCTGCTGCGTATTCCATCCCTTCTGCAGCGAGCAGGCATACTGCTGCTGTTGCTCCAGACGTGCAAGGCCATGTGTGCGGTGCTGCGGGGTGTGGAACGGTGGAGGGTGGTGGTGTGAAGCTGAGAATCTGTGGTGCGTGTGGCAAGGTGGCGTATTGCAGCAGAGAGTGTCAAAAGGCGCACTGGCCCTCCCACAAGCTCACATGCCCAGGCAGGACCAGCGGCAAGAGGAGTGGGAAGAACAGTAGCAAGGTGAGTGGCAATGTGAGTGGCAGGAGGGAGGTGACTTTTGGGTCAACTCTAAAGCTGTGATGTACATGCCACGATTTTCATTGTGTCACACAGACTCAATGCGATTGGTCACGCCCCTTGAGATTCCATGAGATTGGTCACGCCTCTTCAAATGCCCAGTGGTACAAGTGGTGTTGTGGCAATGCTGGCTCCTATGCCACCTCCTCTCACTTAATGCTTCAGGTCACCATTAATCCTATCTCTGCTGTCACCAGCAAGGAACGGCTATGTACAAGCAATGATAACAATCCTATGCTGGACCCTAGCTGTTTATATAGAAATATGCAAAGTACAATCTTGAGATGGATCTAGAAAGGTATTATCTGACTTGGTATTCGACTTCATGACCAGGGCCTCAGAAGTCAGCGAAAAAAGGCTGATTTAGGGTCTGGACGCTGATTTCCCAGACATATGGCTGATGTGTTGGCTGATAATTCAGTTTTTTTTTTTTTTTTGTTGGCTGATTCTTCAGGTTTTTTTTTAAGTATTGGCTGATTTTCCAGCGTTTTTTTACAAGTGTCCGCTGATTGATCAGACTTGTAACGAGAGTGTAGGCTGAACTCACGCTATTACAGATTCGTGCCGGAGCCGTGTTTTTCGGCTGTCCAGGTACATCCACCGTCAATCACGCAAAAGTAGCCACGTACAGCGCCGACGCGGCGGGAAAACAAATTTCCCCGACGAGTCGGTTGCTTCGTTGTCACCGACAGAATGCTTCAATTGATGTGATTGGTTGTTTAACCAATCACATCCCTTATGCGCCATTCACCAACCACCAGAGCAGCACAGCACAGCACCTGCTAAACTTAAAGAACAAAGTGCTTAAACATAGATCAGCCTGCATTTTTTAGTGAGGCTGATTAGTCAGCGTTTTTTTAGGTGACTTGTCTGAAAAATCAGATTTTTTTTTTTTGAACCAACTCTGATTGATCAGCGTAGCGTAGCCTGCTAAGGCTGACGTCTCAGCCAAGCTAAAAACGAATCTGAGGCCCTGTTCATGACGATGGCACTTAGATCTTGTGGTGCCGGAACGTAGTTACAGCTGTATGGCGTGACTTGTTGCTCTGCTGTCGTGAAGATGCCCTTGTACTTTCCTCTCTGCTGCTTTGCTGGTTGGGAATTCACGTGTGCTTTGAGAAATCCCGAAGCGCACATTTCAGGTTGAGATTTCCAACCTCGAATTTGACATTTCAGGTTGGAGTTTTGGCGAAGGCTACAAGTTCGCTAGTGAGCGAACTTTCCTGTGGCGAGTTCGCCTTCGCCCTGTAACAGGAACGCTGTGGGTCTATGTTTTGAGGCATACCTGGCAGTTCCCAAGGCTCGGACTTGTACAGATCCACGTCGCCGATCGCATTCCATGCGATGGGAAGGCCCTCCACGCGCCGCCTGAGGTACATATGTTCTGGCTTAGAAGCCCTTCCTAAAAGAGTCCCATTTCCTCAATGAGTAGATTTTTCACACAAGTCCTAGGTGTCTCCCCTCCTCTACAGTCCCATTTTTGGCAGGAAATCTTGCATCTTGACTGAATCATTGCACGAATCAGTTCCGCAGCCAATCAGAGAACGTAAATCGAACCTGTCAGAACATTTAAATAAACTAAAAAAAGGAAGTTTTGATTCACTATTTCTTTTTTTTGCATTGTGTTTGTCTGTTTATCTTGACCGCTCCTGTGTCGAAATCCTGTTGCGCGGTTCCCCGCGAGCTCTGACGATGCCACCTCATTAATCTCGCTTACAGTGTAAAACAAAAATGTTGTCTTTCCTTTCACCCTTAAAAATAATTTATTTTGTATTTTTCTGCCTGTTTGTCCTGCGACACTGATCAACGCGGCGAACCGTGCGACGAGAAGTTGAAGACAGCGTAGTCCGAATGTACGTATGTGCCAGAAAAACACGACTTGTAGCGAAGAAAAATCTCTCTTCATGCAATTGTTCTTATATGGGACTATAAGTTCCCTTTTGCCCGGGGTTTGTGAGTTTTCCACAAAGGCCCGCAGCGCGCGAGTTTTTCACGTGGACTCTAATCGAGAACATCTGTAGTAACACAGCAGCTCCTCGTCCGTCGGCCGAAACCGAAACCCTGGCGGGAAACTACTAGTTTGCTCGAGAATTATCATGATTGCTCGCGCGATCCGCACGCGGGACTTCCTTTTGCGGTAGCAGTTGCACCTGGACTCATGCTCGCCTCCAAAAAGGTGAGCGCTTGAGCATTTGAAGAGCAAGTTAAACTTGAAGTTGGATAGTCAGGCAATTGGGTCACATTTACGACCTAAAACGAGCATTGCGGAGTTGAGCTTTTTTGCAAACCTTTTCGCCTCACTTGGGCTAGTACTGCTGTATAATTGCTAATTCTGGCGGTTTCATCTTGCTGACTTTTTCTCTCAGACATTTGATCTCAAAAAGTCTTGCTTTCAGCCGCTGCGAAGTGATTGTCCAGCAGGAACCAGACCAGAATGCTTCGAACAGAATGCAAGTGCTCGCTGTCAGAAAGAGATACACCTAATTTCTTGTTGGGGGCTGAACATGTTAAACACACAGTTACTCCAGCTTGGTGAGCCACAGTTGCAGATATGTGAGCGAGCCCTCCAGGTGCCAAGTGGCACATTACTAGTGGTGCTGGAGAATAAGTCATACTCGAATCCAACAAAACATTATGAGTGTGATTATTTTTGTACAGTACAAGAGTGCATAGTGGCAGTCGGCTCTTGCGCTCTGTTCGGTTCAGTTTAGTCTCCCTACAAAATCTAGGTAGAGATTAACCGTCATCACGTGTACAACCCAACTGCACGTTTTGGTCATTGGTGGTGGTGAGGTAGTTTTGTAGTCAGGCATGTACCAACCGAATGCTGCTCGTTAGAGTGGGCAGAGAAGACGAAAGAACCCAACGGGTGGGAAGATGTGATGGGCAGTGAACCCACCCCAGTGGGCAGAGAACTGGGTGAGAACCCCAGCTGTGCCCCAAAAACGATGAACACTATTGAAGTGGTCCTTGATTGCACAGCACCAAGCAAGCCTAGCCCCGTCCCGTATTCTCCCAATGGTTCTGTACTCTGCGGGGCAGGATGCCTTGCAACCAAATTGAAAAGGCTGTTAGCTCTCCGCTCACCTCGGGTGGTGCTGCTGCTGTTGGTCAGTTGTGGAACGTATCGTTTACATAAAAGCTGTGAAAGTAAGGAACAGGAATGATCAACTATGAAATGAAAACAGTACAAGTACCAACCCTAATTGGGTTGTACCCCTTATGTGCTACCCCACTACAGCCTACAACATGTATAAGTTATAGTAATCTGACACACCCCCATAGGCAAAGTGGGGGAGAACAAGGGGTCACAAGACCAGTCAAGCAAAGCAAAGCAAAGCTCAGGGTGGATCACAAAGTCACCACGCATTCCGAGCACAAGTTCAAAGGCCAGACGGCCAGTTCACATGCAAGATCATATATAGAGATATACAAGAGTCAAGCAAGCAAGAGCAAGAGTATATATAGGCGAAGGTACAAGCAAGGTCAAGAGGAGAGCAAGTGAGGCAAGACAGGCACAAGACCCAACTGCGTGCAACAACGCTGATGATCACAAGGAGCAAGTGCCTTGGTGAAGACATCAGCAGTGTTGGCCTCAGAGGCCACGTACGCAAGTCGCAACTGTCCACGCTGCTGTAGCTCACGAGCAAGAAAGTAGCGGAGAGCAATGTGCTTCGTTCTGTGCTCCAGTCGCTGCTCTCGACACAAGGCCAGCATGGCCTTGTTGTCTACGTACAGGACTGGAGGAGAACGAGGCTGCTCTCCAAGGTCAGTCAGCAGGTAGGTGAGCCAGCGTAACTCCTGCGCAGCCATAGCCCCAGCGTAGATCTCAGCCTCACAACTGGAGCCGAGAACAGAAGACGAGCGGGTAGCCCGCCACGAGACAGAGCCGGAACCAAGGCTGAAGGTGTAACCCTGTGACGACCGCTGCGTAGCCTGGTCGTCAGCCCAAGAAGCGTCTGCGTGCCCAGTGAGGACCACTGGACTGCGCCCTCCAAGCACTAGCCCCATGCCCGACGTACTACACAAGTAACGCAACACCCTCTTCGCTGCAGCCATGTGCTCTGGTCGGTGTCTCCCAGGAGCAACAAAGCGTGCGAGAATGCTAAGAGGGTATGCGAGGTCAGGTCGTGTGCAGGTCATCAGGTACATGAGGCAGCCAACAAGCTCCGGGTACGGGCCACTCGACTCTACGGACTCATCCGAAGGCAGAGCTGAGAGCGAGTGGCGAGTAGGCAGAGGAGTGGCCTGAGGCGAGGAGTACGTGAAGCCGAAGCGCTGAAGGACCTGCTGCACCATGTGTGACTGAGTCAGGGTAATGGTGCGGCGTGCTCTGTCCCGGGTGATCTGCAAGCCAAGGTAGCTACGCAGTTCACCCAGGTCAGTGCACGTGTGTCTCTTCTGCAGCTCGGACTTCACGTAGGCGAGTCCAGCAGTGTCAGCTGTGGCAAAGACCAAGTCGTCGACGTACACGAGGATGTAGAACGGCGGCAGAGAGGTGTCGGTGCGCAGAAACAGCGACGGGTCGGCAGTAGAAGGAGCAAACCCAAGTGCCGCGAGCGTAGTCCTCAGTGTGTCGTGCCACTCACGTGGCGCCTGGCGGAGACCGTAGACTGGACGCCGGAGACTCCACTGGGTACCAGAAGGGAAAGACCCAGTGAAGCCAGGTGGGCGACGCAGCCAGATCTCCTCGTGCAGGCTGCCCTGCAAGAAAGCTGTGCTGAAGTCGAGAGAGTGCAGCTCGTAGTCACGGTGAGCAGCAACGTGCAGCAGAACCCGAAGAGTGGTCATCTTCGGGGTGGGGGAGAAGGTCTGAAAGTAGTCAACCCCCTGCCGCTGACTGAAGCCACGAGCCACGTAACGCGCCTTGAAGACAGGCGGAGAACCCGGCGGCCGCTTCACCCTGAAAATCCACATGCCACTGACGATGTTCGCCCCAGGAGGGGGAACAGCGTCAACGTAGGTGCCTGTGGACTTCCAGGAAGCCATCTCTGCATCCATAG